TATGATCTCTGGCATTGCATTTGGGGAATTTGTTGCTCATACGTCATGTTGAGCCTAGTCAAATGCCAGTTTATTTATATCTGATGCGGTTTCACTTGTTGTTGTTGTTGTTTTTGTTGTTGTTGCTGTCTCATTTTACATTTCATGTATTTTTTTTTGCATTTATAATCATTTAGTCGTGTATTTACTCGACGTGCATTGTTGTTGATCCCTTTATAGTTTTTGTTGTTGTTTGAATTAGTTCTAAAATTAATGGCTGTGTTAGACAATGGCAAATGTAGCGTAAATTTTATTGAACCATCAATATTGGCGTTTAACAATGCGATTATTTTAAAAGCAAAAATGAGAGAAAAACAAAAGCGTAAATTGTTTATTAATTTGCCAATGGGAGCGGTAATGTAAAATACATATGTATATGTAAATAAAAATATTTAAATGCCATGCCTAAGTGAGATGTGTTTATGTGTGAATGTTGAAATTTATTGCAGTTTTTTGACAAATAAGAATGATTGAAATATTTATTTGGGGGATTTAAAGGAATAGATTACATTTTGTAAACATTTAATAGTTAAAGCTACTTCCAGTGAAGCTTGATCAATTTTTGTGGGTTTGTTTGTGTTGCTGGCTAAAATAGCCAATTTGAAAGCAAGTGTGTTTTGTAGTACTTAGGGCCAGTGTGTTTCTTTGAATGTAAAGTTGCTCAGATATAACAATCGAGTAACATCTGGTCCAACGAATGTGCACTTAGCGTCAATCCTAGTAAGACTTCACGAGAAAGTATACAATTCCTCCATTCAAACCTCCCTATTTAAACCATAAATGAGGTAGAACTTACTCTCTCAACCGAGTTCAAATGCCTTGGAAGTATTCTAAACTAGAAACTTGACTGGAAGCGTAATATCGATGACCGTTCCAGGAAAGCCAACACCGCTTTCTATGCCTGTAAGACGGCTATAGGGGAAAATGGGGAATAAAGCCACCCTTCCATTTATTTTCTAAGGGGGCACTGAAGGGCGGTCCGCGCTAAATAATACGTTATGCAGAGTCAAAATTAAATCCACCACACCTACCAAATATTTGAAATAATTCTAAATCTTCCACCGGCTTTGGGCCAGGCTGTAATCTAGCCAGGTTAAATACGATCCAGCCCTGGAGTGACCTCAGATTCGGACACTATATTATAACACTCACCTACTCTGATTAAACAACAAGTTCTCCATTAGAACCCCAGAGAGAAACGAATGGGAGGAGACCATAGACGTAGACCCACGGCCGATGGCTATATATACAACTGGTTCCAAGCTTAACGAAAGAGTGGATAGCGCGATTCCCTCTGGTCCGCTAACTGGACCGTTGTAGCGTTTTTTATGCAGAGCTAAACGCCATCATAGAGGCCGATCGGTGGGGCATAACCTCTGCTCCTCCAAGATGGGCGATCGTTATTTATTCTGAGAGCCAGGAGGAAAAGTAGCCAAAAAATGCCAAAAGATTCTAAACCTGCTGACATCAAAATGCTCCTTGAGTCTTGTATAGGTCTCCGAACATAAATACATTCCTGGAAATTACATTTTACCAATCAAAATTCTAAAAAGGCGGATTTTCAGCCCCGCTAATTTGTATCCCTTTCAAAGTCCGAACTCTCGTCGTGAGTAACGCTAAATTGCCCTAT